AGGCAACCCGTACCAAGTGGGATATTTTTGCGTGTGCATTAGTAAAAATCTTAGGATTGGTTACTTGTACATTTATACAATGTTATATAGTCACACGTTACAGTCATCATGGAGCGCAACATTACGTAGTCACAAGAACTTTTAAATTTAAGTTAAGTTTTTCAGTTTCGGTTTATATTGTGACGAACACGGATGATAGAACAAAATCGAATCAACGATAAACTGCCAGAAGCAACTAGACAGCGAATTCGTAGTGGCCAGAATGTTCTAGAAGCAATGTTTTGTTACAGATTTACTATATAAGGGCTGCTGGATTGTGCAGCAAACACAGTTCTAGTTAGAGTGTTGTGATAAGAGCAATCAAGCTATAAGCAAGAAGTTGTAAGCTCGAATAATGAGCAATAAGTGTTAAGTTGTTGGAATTAGAAATAAAGATAAGTGTGTAGCCATTAAATTGAGACTTTTATTTAACAATCCAGTGATCGAACTCAAGAGTGAGTTACAGGTAGACGATTTATCGAGAAATCCGTTACAATTGGTGTCAGAAGTGGGATTGTCGAATAAATTCCCAAGGAGATAATTATTTAAAAATGGCCAAGTTTAACGATCTGAAAATTCCACAACTGAAAAAGGAGCTGTAACAACGTGGTTTGGCGACAAATGGATTAAAAACTGAATTACAATCACGGTTGAGAGAGGCCATGGAGGCGGAAAACATTAATGTTGAGGAATATGTCTTTCACATGGAATTAGAAGAAGAGACGACAAAGATAGAAGAAAAGGAAGAGGCTCAATGCTCTTCAAAGATGGTGGACAGGAACATGCTTTTTTCCGCAATATCGCAGATGGGGACGCAAATGTCGACACAATTTAAAGAGCAGGATACACGTATGTCTCAGATGTCAACGCAAATGTCGACACAATTTAAAGAGCAGGATACACGTATGTCTCAGATGTCAACGCAGTTAGAAACGCGATGGTCAACGCATTTGGAAGAGCTATTCGCAGCACAACATGCACGTTTTTCAGCACAGTTGTCAGCACCGAAAGAGCTCGACGCGCATATGTCAGCGCAGGTATCCTCACAGTTGGAAGAGGAGGAAGCATGTGAAGCAGGATCTTCACAGTATGAAGAGCAAGAAGCTTGTATACCAGCAAAAGTGTCTTCGAAGTCGGAAGAACTGAACGGGCGTATGCCAGCGCAGGTGTCCTCACAGTCGGAAGAGGAGGAAGCGTGTGTACCAGTACAAGGGTCCTCACAGTCGAAAGAGCTGGAACTGCGTATGTCAGGGCAGGTGTTCTCACAGTTGGAAGAGAAAGAAGCGTGTGAACCAATAAAAGGTTCCTCACAGTTAGAAGAGCAAAAAGCTTGGATACCAGCACAAGTGTCCTTACAGTTGGAAGAGCAGGAAGCGTGTATACCATCACAGGTGGAAGATCAACATAAAAATGAACCTGAAACAGATGACTCTGTTCAAGAAGATCCAGAATTGGAAGGTGCATTACATAAGGTGGAGTTGAACCAATGTACAACGATTGGAGAAATAACTACAGGAAGGCCAGTCACAAAATCATATTGGACAGAACGGAGCAGTTTAAAGTTAGTGTATGGCTGCTTGCATCGAGTATGGAAAAGCGAAAATAAGTAACCCTTCCGAGTACTTATGGTTGTTCCAAGGGTTGAAATTCCTGATGTTCTTAACGTGCAGTACAAATGTCCAAGAGGAGGGCACTTGAGAGACATGAAATCCTTGGAGCATTTGAAGGTTTTATTGGACTGGTTGTCAATCAGCTATAGAAAGGATTGCGAAATATGCTGAGAACATTGTAGCTAAAGGATCGAGGTCCAGGAGTCATGGGCAGATGAAACAGCACAATTCGCGAGCGCCACTTGAGAAAATAGGCGTGTATGAAGATGGTCCATTCCCCACCAATAAATTAGGAAATAGTCATGTTTTGGTAGTCAAGGACCATTTCAATGAATGGCCACAAGTATACACAATTCCTAACCAAGAGACTGAACCAGTGGCGGAGGCATTCATCAACAAGTGGATAACGAGATTCGGTGTTCCAATGGAGTTACGTTCTGATCAAGAATGGAATCTCGAGTCAGCTTTAAGTCAAGGGATGTACCAGAAACTGAGTATCCGGAAAACGGATGGAATTAACTCCAAGAAGAGAAGGACGGCTAACGATGTCAGCACCAGCCTAGAAGACGAGATAGGGACATAAAAGCTTTGTGTATGGTATCGCAAATATGTCTAATCGGGACGATCAGACTTAGGTGGAGGGCAGTGTGACGAACACGGATGATAGAACGAAATCGAATCAACGATAAACTGCAAGAAGCAACTAGACAGCGAATTCATAGTGGCCAGAATGTTCTAGAAGCAATGTTTTGTTACAGATTTACTATATAAGGGCTGCCGGACTGTGCAGCAAACACAGTTCTAGTTAGAGTGTTGTCGTGATAAGAGCAATCAAGCTATAAGCAAGAAGTTGTAGGCTCGAATAATGAGCAATAAGTGTTAAGTTGTTGGAATTAGAAATAAAGATAAGTGTGTAGCCATTTAATTGGGACTTTTATTTACCAATCCAGTGATCGAACTCAAGAGTGAGTTACAGGTAGACGATTTATCGAGAAATCCGTTACAATATTATAAGAAATTTTTGTAACAAACTTTGAAGTAAATATAGATATGTGGTAACGTAAGTTCCCACAATAGAATCTTTTGTTAACTGTGCTTTTACATTGGGACTCTTTTGAATCTCATTTTTTTCAAATTCTCTTTTGGTGTTGCTCTGTGCATTCACACGGGCAAAAAGAGTCCAGCAACTCGAGTCTAGTTTTTCTGCATTCCTTTTCACATAATGGGAAAACTTTAGTATAACGTCCCACGCTTTCGGGGATAAAATGGGTATGGGCGGATAGAGGAGATCCTCCAGATCAAGAATATATATAGATATAGTCGCGGGAAACTTATAGTTTTCGAGATATTTGGGTTTAAAGTTCAAAATTTCGACTATTTAAAGTACGCATTTTTCCCATTTCGAATGAGTTATACACTTATATTTTACACTTTTATATCCACTAACACTTCACTAATTCGTTTGTACACATTTATTTTACATTATATAGTGCAAAAATAGTTTAATTCAATAATTAAATTATTGTTAAATACTATTATTTCTGACAATAGCAAAAGGGTTGCAAAATTTCAAATAACCAGTGTTACCTTATCGACATCTTTTGTAATTGAACTGAAAGAAATTAAAACAGATAATACCCCAAATACAGGAATCCAAAATCTAGAGAAATAAACTATTACAAAGCATTGATGTTAAGTATTATGTTATACCCTCTATGACAATATTACTTTTTTCTTGTAGAACTTATTTTTGCGTTGGCGGCCTTCGGCCGCGCTTCAAAAAAAATGACCCTGGTCGGTCCAACATCGGGGTGTATCAAAATATTTTTCGCGCAGAACTTCTTTCTGAGTTGGCGGCCTTCGGCCGCGCTTTAAAAAAATAACCCTGGTCGGTCCAACACCGGGGTGTATCAAGGTTTTTTTGCGCAGAACTCCTTTTTAAGTTGGCGGCCTTCGGCCGCGCTTTAAAAAAAATAACCCTGGTCGATCCAACACCGGGGTGTACCAAAGTTTTTACGCGCAGAAATTCTTTTTGCGTTGTTTCCTGTATCTAGGGTACAATCTCTCTGTTTATTTTATTTTTCTTCGTTTACGAAATATATTAGTATGGCAACACTGATGTTTTGACATTCACAACCACTTTTTTATTGTCAAAATTATTAAAATTGAAGAATGATTTAAATAATGAAATAAAGCAATTTTTGCAGCACCTAATATAAAAAAAATTTCTAAAAACGAATTATTCAAGTGTTAGTGGATATAAAAATGAAAAATATAAGTGTATAATTCATTTTAAATCGCAAAAATACCTACTTTAAATAGTTGCAATTTTTAACTTTAAACGTAAATATCTCGAAAACTATAAGTTTCTCGCGGCTATATCTATATATATTCTTGATCTGGAGGATCTCAATAAATGAAGTATATATATGTTACACATCCAACATAGAAATATACAGTATTGGCCAGTTATTATTAAATTAAATTATTCATTTATAAATAGTATTATAATGCCAATATATGGCTTCAATTATATAGATCATCCAGAAAAACTAATATCTCCCACACGCTAAAGGACGATAGTTCAAGTACAAGCCGTAGAACTTTAGCGCAGCCTTTATGCCCATGACTTGGAATATTTCAATTCGATATGTAGAAAGTCATAGTAGACATTTTCGAATTCTTGATTTTCATTTCATAGTAGACATTTGCGAACTCGTGATCATCCGAGATGACAGTCCTCTGCGTATAATTAGCAGTGTTGCCCGATACCTATCGTACATATTTAGCCTTCTCGACGCGTCACACTCAATCTTGCGTTATTTGACGAGACACCAGCAAAATGGAAATTGTTGAGTGTTACCTAGAAACACAAATACACAAAGTAAATAAAGAAGTAGTTCATTTAAGCATTGCGCAGTCATGCTTACTTGTGTAGCACGTTCACCCAAAACTCTGCGCGATCAAAGTACCAACTATTAGCTAATGTCTGTTAAAAACGCGGTTAATATTACCAATCACCCATTCGAATGCCTGGGACGACAGACGGATTTCTTCGGCTACCTACTTCGTGCAAGGAGTGAAGCGCGGTAAATAGCAATACACTCCAATGTAAGTAATTGATCGTTCGAACCTTGAAGCACAATATAAGGCAACCCTTGGAAACACCATTGTTAAATAAAAGTCCCAATTTAATTCCTATACACTTTTCTTTATTTCTAATTCCAACAATTTAACACTAACTGCTCGTTATTCGAGCTTTCTTCTTGCTTATATCTCAATTGCTCTTAACACGGCAACACTCTAACTAGAACTGTGTTTTTTTTAGAACATTCTGGCAACTACAAATTCGTTGTCTAGTTGCTTCTGGCAATTTATCGTCGGTTCGATTTTGTTCTATCATCCATGTTCGTCACAATAACATTTTTTTTTTATGTGGAACCGTGACATAAGGGGTACATATATATTTTAAACTGCGACAACACTACTAGAGATTTATAATTTGCTGGTATCTTTCTAACTTGCGTTGAAGAGAAGAAGTATTAATTTTTTTTAAATTGTTTAATACAAAAGAGCCTCAAATGGCTGAGGAAATAGATGACAGTGGCTTTTATAGACAAGATTTTAGCACAGTTTCCGACTGGGAAGTTTTTAATGCCCAGTTAGGAGATATTATTCAAAAGTTAAATGCAATTGAAATTGATGCTACAAGCAAAGTCGATACCTATCCACTTAACTATAAAGTATACACAGAAACTTTTTTACTACATAAAGATAAAATTTCTGTAAGTTTTTATTATTCCACAATCTCTGAAGATCGAGAGAGAATTTCCAAAGGAGACAAAAATTATAACTCGATGTATTACGATCTTATGAATGTTAAGCGAACTTTCGGTCCTCCGTTTAAAACTTCTGATCGTGGATGTTTACATGTAATATCTAGTTTATTTGGATTGCGACGGTTTGCGGTCATCCATCCACATCAGTCAAATTCAAAATATATTACTAATTCCGCTGAATTTTGTTTTTTTCTCAGTGCTGCTACGATTGTGGCTGCGGAATATTGCACGGTGCCAATATTTGTACAAATTTATGATCCAAAGTTAAATATTTTTTTTGGTGTTGGAATGAATGCCACGCTACGCACTAATTTTGATATTATCGTTCTTAAACAGTCGCCTATCGACTGCCGTTACTTATCTGGCTTACTGCAAATTTTTAAAGAAAAACTTTCGTTGAGTATTGTGCAACCCATTTCATTATCAGTACGAAATATATATGCACTGCCAACTATACGGTTTAGTTATGCAATGAATGTCCCATTTCAAAAAATTTTCGATGGAAATGATAAAGACAAAAGTTCGTATAAAAAAATAGCCCTACCATGTGGTTATATCCCAGATTCGGGTACAGATGTATACTTTGTCTATAGTTGGGTCGAAATTTCGGAAAATTTTGCAATAGATTCGCCATTCCTTACTGACTTTATACCTTCAAAAGCGCATAGTTGTAATATGTACCAAACAGCAAACGTTGTTTCCTATTTGACGAGTTGTTTACGAGACTTTTTAAAGTTATATAATAGTAAAGAAGCCTTAGAAACATTTGTAGGACGGGATGTTACTAATATGGCAGCTTCACTACATCACTTGACAGACCCTCATATGAATATCAATGAAGGTTTTCAGAATTTAAAGAAAATTGCTGGACCATTAAATGAATCTGAACTGAAGTCATTTATAGCATTTATGTTCCCAGATTTATACCCAGATAACGATAATTATTCCAATATAAATGATATAATGACACTAAATATTGAGGTACTATATAAACTTGTAAGAATTTGAAACAATGAAATTATCAAATATATTGCAGTGTAATACCCACCGGATAAAATCATCGCCATTTAACTCTTTAGCCAGCCGTCTTAGCTGCGTACTAGCTACTTGTAATGCTCATTTTGGTGGGAAAAATGGACTTGCCCAGCTTTGGATTGCATTTATTAGGGAACTCCGATTTATATGGAATTTTAGACTATCTATTCAAGGGTGAGTTTTTGACTATACATATTATTGTTGCCGAATTTATATTCGTTTAAGTTTCTCACGTCAATTGTTGTTGGTATAACTCCATACCGTATAAAACCATAATGTTGGCTATTAAATGTTTTCGTTTTTTTAATTGACTTGATAGTTTTTAAAAAAAATTTATTGCATCTAAGTTGGATGGTACAGGAAGTACTCTCACCAATCTGTTTGAGTGTATCAGTAGCTGATTAGTATACTTAGTACGAATCACCTCGACATCTTATTATATAAAAATATTTTTAATTGTTGTTCATCTTTATTGGCTATTTAATGCCATCTATTTTGTATGTTTTTTTTAGCAAAATTTAGTTTGGTGTTAAGCCTACGTACCATATTTGATATCTTATTAGGTATATTTAGGGGTGTTGTGGAATCCAAAATACATTTGTGTAGTTGTCAGAATTGCAAACCAGTTCTGATTTGCAATGGTGTCACATAATCTGATTGGATTTTCGTCTTTTCGAACATACGCAAAACCAATATTCGAATCAGCTGTTTACTAATGTTACAAAAAAAAATTGAAAAATTTAAAATACTGACTAAAATCTACTAAAGTTTATAATGACTTCCGCTATGCTAGCTTTTATTTTATTGGAAGAAAAAAGCAAAGAAAAAATGAAAAAGAAGATAATCAGGGGTGTTGTAGAATCTGATAGTTGTCGGAATCAGAATTGAAAGCGGTGAAAAATGTAGTAAGTGTCATGAATTCAGATATTATTGTACTAGTTTGACGTTCGAAACAGAAATTGTATCAGTTTTGGGTGTCACGGAAACCAATTTAATCGGCTTTGTTATCTTAAACAAAGCAAGAGCATAGTCGTCAGATTTGAAATATAAGTTAAGAAACTATTTATATAATGATTTAAATTATTGTTACTATTTAATTTATCGTTTTTTCTATGTATATATTTTCAAAAAATGTCATAATTATTAAGTTTATGAAGAAAAACCCGATATTTTAAGAGGATTTACAAAACATAATAAACGTTATTTAACACCCAAATGCGTCTTTATTTAGTCGATATTGTAATATAAATCTGTAAAGTAAGCAAGTAAGCAAGTGTTATCTTTATATGTTCCTGTTACTGTTTTCTTCTTCCAATAAAATAAAAGCTAAAATAGCGGAACTCATTGTAAACTTTAATAGACTTTATTCTGTATTTCAAACTTATCAAACGATTCCAATTTTAGTCATTTGCAAGTTTTGTCACAAAAGCAAAAAGCTGGTTCGAATCTTGGTTTTGCATATGTTCGAAAATAACATAACGAGAGACCTATTTGAAATGGTTGCCTTTTCACAAATCTATCTTCTATATAAGTATATAACAAAGAAAGTGTGTGTATGTTCCGCGTAGGCTCCGAAACGGCTAGACCGATTTCCATGAAACTCTAAGGAAATCTTTAGATTGACCTGACGAGTAATTCTCTAGAGTTTGGTGATCGGAGCACTTTTCTTTTTGAATTGTCAAATTTCTTTTTGAACTGTCAAATACAGTTCATTTACTATGATGATATTCTATTGTTTTATAACCCAAATTTGTATTGACGCATGCGTTGTGGATATATATGTCATTATGAAACCTATTGAAGTATATTAAAGTAAATAATTAAGGTTTTTTAAGAATTCAAGGTAAGTTGTAGCGCTGCGAATGTATTCGTTTACTGATGTGTTTTAGGTGGATTGTTACAACGGAAAATCCAATCATATTTCTTCACAGAAATTAGAAAGTATTGGTAAAAAACCTCCAAATCAAAGAAAGCTAAGGAAAAAAGAGCAAATAAAACACCTGAGGAACGTGAGTTACGCCTTGAGAAAAATCGTAACAGAATATCTACAAGAAGAAATATGGAAACTGAAAAAGAGCGTGAATCACGGCTTCAACAAAATCGTGACAAAGAATCTTCATCACGAGCTACCGAGACAATCCAATTTAAACGCACCTAAGTTATGCAACGGCACCAGATTAACAATTAATAAATTGTCACTGAATTTATTCGAAGTCATCGGTGGTAAATTCAAAGGCGAAGACGTACTGATTCCACGAATACCGATGATATCCAACGATTTACCGTTCGAATTTAAGCGATTTTTTGCAATAACTATCAACAAAACACAAGGTCAATTGTTGACTATTGCCGGTTTAAATTTGGAGAATTCGTGTTTTTCATACGGCCAATTGTATGTGTCTTGCTCCCGAGTCGGCACATTTATAAACTTATACTCATCCAGAAGAGGCCATCTTTGATCAACAGAGGCCGAATTGTGTTCCATCAGGACAACGCCAGGCCACACACGTCTTTGGTGACGCGCCAGAAGCTCCGGGAGCTCGGATGGGAGGTCCTAATGCACCCACTTTATAGTCCGGACTTGGCACCAAGTGATTACCGTCTTTTCCTGTCCATGGCGAACGCGCTTAATGGTGAGAAGTTGGCCTCAAGAGAGGCCTGTGAAAATTTGCTCCCAGAGTTTTTTGTCAATAGGGACGCAGCCGTCTACGAGAGGGGTATAATGCAACAAAGTACACAATGGACAAATGTACACAAAGTTATAATCTTTTGAAAAATCAACAAAAAACCGAATGAACTTTTTACTTGAACATATGATGTATACATGTTTATGAAATGTTTTAGGAGGTTTCTTTTGAGAATATGTTTCTAAAATTTTTAGATAATACTACATATTGCTTTGCCTAACGGAGTTTTTTTTTATTAATAATTGCCTTAGTCGTTATTGAAGTGTTTCTGTTTCAGAAATCTTTTCTTTAACTTTCGTTTCTAGTGCATTTTCTTTGATACAGCCAGTCCAGAAAACGAGCTGTATTGACGGTGTCAGACCATGAATGTATCCCACTTAATAGCATGTAAAGAGGTGGTTAGGTTGTATTTTAAATAAATTGCTCGCTAAGATCTTTGGAGCAAATGCAAAAATGCATATATTTGTTTTATTAACGATTAAAATTAATTCTAATGAGCCGAATTATTTTTATGTTATTTATTTATTATCAAACGAATACCCCATTTTTATTTCAACAATTAAAAACGATTTAAATGAACAAAATCAAACCGAATGCGCTAAATATAGCTTATTTTCACATGTGCTTAACAGTTTCTTCATATGGCAGAAGGTAATTTCAGGTAGTAAAAATGTCACTATCAGAAACTAGCACCCCCCCTCACCCCGCTCTCAACTTCTGCTAGTGTTTTGAGTCAGCTAGTCATAGTTATGGCCAATTCGCATAGAACTTTTGCTTCGCTTTGCGTCAGGCATTTGTTTTGATAGAAAAGTTCGATGTACGCTTTTGTATGAGTATGTCCACATAAAAAGTTTTGATAACTTTCATGTTTTTACGCTTTGCCAAGCATCAGCCGCCATTTTTATCGGACCATATTGAGAGAGGAGTTAAATAAATAGGTTTAATTGGGCATGCAAAGAGGTGATTAGTGTCGTGCGGGGACTCGTTGCATGCATGCGCTAGGGTCACTCTTGTTTCACCCGGCAACTCGAACTCTTGTTCTGTAATAGGTGGTGTTTGGAGTAAGCCTTTCACTTGGAGAGAAACTTGGTCGGTGTATGGTGCTAATTTGTCGACGTGTTGCAGGAATGTTTCAGCATCAAGCAGGTGACAGATAGTTTCGGCGAAAACCTCCGACCAGTATGTGCTTGAAAAGAAGTGTGTTAAGCTGGCCTGACTTTGTAAATGTTCGGCAGAAGACATCAGGAGGCATCCTGCTCCGGAATGCGGTGTTCTGGCAGGTCTGAATCTTCTCCATCTGCGTCCTGCTGGATCCAGGCGATCATATTGGGGTGGCGTAGTTGATGACCGGCCGGCTCATTGCCTTGTATGTTGCCAACAACGTCTCTTTGTCCTTGCCCCAAGTGTTGCTTGTTAGCGACTTGAGGATCTTGCTGCGGTTCTGTACTTTTGTGACTATCGCGGTTGTGTGCGGAGAGAAGGAGTGCAGACTGTCAAGTGTGACGCCTAAAATTTTTTTTAGACTTCAAGTCATACTTTAATGAGTTTTTTGAACAAAGTGTAAGATGAGCCTTAACCAAAATAATTTAAATCCGAATAAATTTGGTAAATTCTTAAATTTAGTATACGTTGATACCTATATAACTTTCGAAACGATAGGCAATTTACTCGATAATAGTCATCGAACTTCTCGTTTTTTTACACGGTTTTATTTTGCAAAAGACTAGACTACAATGGAAATTATTTATTAAATTAAAAAACAGAAAAACTCAGGATTTTTATGTTTAAATAGGTTTACTTTAAATATTCAGCATTCCCTCTACAGTATTCGGATCTTAACAAAAAACGTTATAATATTTACATAAATAAGGTAAAATTTATATTGTACGTAATCCAAACTTGTTTTATGGTTTCGGTAACTCCAAACGCAGGATTTCCAAATTTTCGTCCACGATGCAATAAAATCTATCATGTCATGTGACAATCACATTATTTCTAACATTTTATATTTATATTATAACAAATAGTAGTGTGGTAGTGTAATCTCAGAATACTCAGAACGACCACTATTTGTGTTGTTTACAGTAACTTAAAATATTCATTTCGGTCAAAAAATGGAATTAAATGCATCGATGAATTTAATTAAATTTTTGGTGATGAAGCTCTATCAAAGGCCAATGTTTATAGATAATATGGTGAATTCAATCGTGGTTGTAGATAACTCCAAGACGAATTTCGTGAAGGTCGTTAAAAATTAGTTGAAATTTTTTAAGATTAGTGGCATACAGTCCATACTTAGGACTACATGTTTTCATTAACACTTAAATTAATAAATATTACCTATGCTGCGGCGCATCGACTAAGTGGCGCGTTCATGTAGTCGTTGTTGTTGTAATGGTAATCTAGTCCCCGCTTGGGTGGCAAGTTATAGTTTGTTTGTTGTCGAGGTCAGCTAATAGGAGGCCCAGGAAACGAGCTGTTTCGACG